GTCCTCTGGCACCACTGACTTGGCCACCCGTCTGTGCAGCGCCTTCGTGCCATGCACTCCCGGTACCTTGTTTCTGGTCTTCCCAGGGTCCTCCCTCTCCTACCACCCTCGCCTGCTCCTCCCTGTCTTCCCTGTGTCGAGGGACGGCAGCGCGCCGCTCCTCACTCCTCCTCGTTTCCCCCGACGACTGCTCCTTTGCAGACGCTCCACATGGACGTGTGGGGCCCAGCCCGCGTCCGTGGTCAGGGTCAGGAGAGGTACTTCCTGATAGTTGTTGACGACTACTCGCGCTACACCACGGTCTTCCCCTTGCGCACCAAGGGTGAGGTCCCTGATGTCTTGATCCCTTGGATCCGCACAGCCCGTCTCCAGCTCAGCGAGCGTTTCCACTCGGACTTTCCTGTCCTGCGCTTGCACTCTGACAGAGGTGGTGAGTTCTCCTCCGACCTCTTGGCAGCCTACTGTGCTGAGCACGGCATTGAGCAGTCGTTCACGCTTCCGACCTCTCCACAGCAAAATGGGGTTGCGGAGCGCCGCATTGGCCTGGTCATGGAGGTCGCCCGTACCTCCTTGATCCATGCGGCTGCCCCCCACTTTCTGTGGCCGTTTGCGGTCCGGTACGCTGCGCATCAGCTCAACCTCTAGCCCCGTGTCTCCTTGCCGGAGACCTCGCCCACACTGCTGTGGACGGGGGAGGATGGCGATGCGTCGCGTTTTCGGGTCTGGGGATCTCGAGCTTTTGTCCGCGATACGTCTGCGGACAAGCTCTCCTCCCATGCTGTTCCCTGCGTCTTCCTTGGCTTTGTCCCGGACGCGCCTGGTTGGCAGCTTTACCACGCCACCTCTCGCCGGGTCTTGCCCTCTCAGGACGTCACTTTTGACGAGTCCGTCCCCTACTACCGCCTCTTCCCCTACCGCACTGCCCCGCTCCCCCCCCCCGCCTCTCTTCCTTGCGCCAGGTGCTGCTGTCGTAGACCCCCTCCCCCCTCAGGGTGCCGCTCCCTCAGGTGTGTCTCAGGTAGACCCGGTTGAGCCTGTTGAGGTTGCTGTCGACTCTCGTCCTGCTGGGGGTGCGGAGCCTGGGGGTGCGGAGACTAGGGGTGCTGAGCCTGGGGGTGCTGAGCCTGGGGGTGCTGGGCCTGGGGGTGCTGAGCCTAGGGGTGCTGAGCCTGGGGGTGCTGAGCCTGGGGGTGCTGAGCCTGGGGGTGCTGAGCCTGGGGGTGCTGAGCCTGGGGGTGCTGAGCCTGGGGGTGCTGAGCCTAGAGGTGCTGAGCCTCAGGGTGCTGAGCCGCAGCGTCCGGAGTCTGGGGGTCCTGAGTCTGGAGGAGCTGGGCCAGAGGGTCCTACCCCAGGAGGAGGCCTCTCCTCGGAGCAGCTGCGTGAGTGATACTTACGTACTGCAGCCTCCGGAGAGGTACCTCTGGAGCCAGGCGTACTACAGGGACTGTTGCTGGTGCTTCTCTTCCTAGTCGGGAGCTCCCCTCCCGTGAGCGGATCCGTGAGTGGTACGAGCGACGCTGCACGCTTCGGAGTGGCGCGCCTGGTGTCACGGACCCCACTGCTGCTGGTGCTTCTGCTGGTACTGTGGAGTCGGGTGTTGGAGCTGCTGCTGGTGCTGCGGACCCGGGCGTTTAAGCTGCTGCTGGTGCTGCGGACCCGGGCGTTGGAGCTGCTGCTGGTGCTGCGGACCCTGGCGCTGGTGCTGCTGCTGGTGCTGTGGAGTCGGGTGTTGGAGCTGCTGCTGGTGCTGAGGACCCGGGCGGTGGAGCTCCTACTGGTGCTGCGGACCAAGGCGTTGGAGCTGCTGCTGGTGCTGCGGACCCTGGCGCTGGTGCTGCTGCTGGTGCTGTGGAGTCGGGTGTTGGAGCTGCTGCTGGTACTGAGGACCCTGGCGCTGGTGTCTCTGCTGGTTCTGGAGTCGCTGCACGGGAGCGGCCGTACTTCGTTCCACTCCTTCAGCAGGTTCTTGGTCAGCTTCCTCCTCCTTGTCCTCCTCCCTCCTTAGGGTGTCCTCCGTCTGCCTCCTCTCTCCCTGGTCCTGCTCCTTACACTGGTCCGACTAGAGGTCTTACTGAGCGTCGTGAGCTTGAGTCTCATCCTGCATCGCCTGAGTCTCGCCGTGCATCGCCTGTCCGTGCTGCTCTCACTGGTGGTCGTGTCCCTAGTCAGCGTCTTCCTGCTGTCCCGGGCACTCACCGGATGGCGCTTCGTCCTTCCACTACTCCACAGCGTGTCCCACTGCCGTCTCCCCCTGCGTCCTCTCTTCATGCTTTTGCTAACCCGGGGTCTGACTCCCTTCGTGCTGCCAGTCCTACTGTTACGCGTCTCCTTGCTACTGTCGTCACTGACCCTTCCTTTGAGTCCACTACTGCGTCTGCCCTAGTTGCTGAGCTCGTCGACTTTGCTGCTCGCTGTCGCCTAGACTACGCTGCTAGTCTTGTCGCAGAGTCTGAGTCTCTCTGTCCTCCGTCCGCCGGGGGTGAGTGTGCCCTTGGCACAGAGGTCCTTGAGGACAGGCAGGAGGAGTTCCAATGCTTGGCCGCTACTTCACCTCATCTTGTGTCCGTACTGCTTACCTCTGAGGGAGACCCGAATGCACTTGACATCCCGACTCCGCGCTCTTACGCAGAGGCGATAGAGGGTCCCTACTCTTCTCAGTGGCAGGCAGCTATGGATGCAGAGATGGCTTCCTGGAAGTCCACAGGCACCTACGTTGACGCTGTCCCCCCCCCTGGGGCGAACATCGTCAGTGGCATGTGGATTTTCAGAGTGAAGCGGCCGCCGGGTTCTCCGCCTGTCTTCAAGGCGCGTTACGTGGCTCGTGGCTTCAGTCAGCGGCAGGGAGTTGACTACTTTCAGACCTTCTCTCCCACCCAGAAGATGACCACTCTTCGGGTACTACTGCACGTAGCTGCTCACCGTGACTACGAGCTACACTCTCTTGACTTCAGCACTGCTTTCCTGCAGGGCAGCCTGCACGAGGAGATCTGGCTGCGCCGCCCTCCTGGCTTCACTGGGACTTTTCCTCCTGGCTCCCAGTGGAGCCTTCGGCGGCCGGTCTACGGTCTCCGCCAGGCACCGCGTGAGTGGCACGACACACTAAGGACTACACTTGCGGCTCTTGGGTTTGCTCCCTCCACTGCTAACCCATCGCTGTTTCTACGCACCGACACTTCTCTGCCGCCGTTCTACATCCTCGTGTACGTCGACGACTTGGTCTTTGCCACAGCTGACACTGCCGGACTCGCCCACGTGAAGTCCGAGCTGTAGAAGAGACACACGTGCACAGACCTGGGTGAACTGCGCAGCTACCTTGGCTTGCAGATCACCCGGGACAGAGCACGCTGCACCATCACCCTGACTCAGTCACACATGGTGCAGCAGGTCCTTCAGCACTTCGGCTTCACGTACTCCTCGCCTCAGGCCACTCCTCTGTCTACTCGCCACTCACTCTCAGCTCTGCCTTCGGATGAGTTCGTAGAGTCGAGTGGCCCATACCCAGAGCTTGTTGGCTGCCTCATGTACCTGATGACCTGCACACGACCTGACCTTGCATACCCTCTTAGCCTTCTCGCACGCTATGTTGCCCCTGGGAGACACCGACCAGAGCACATGGCTGCAGCGAAGAGGGTGTTGCGCTACTTGTGCAGTACGTCGGGCATAGGGCTAGTGCTTGGAGGGCGGAGTCCAGTGGTCCTCATTGGTCACGCAGACGCTTCTTGGGCTGACGATCAGGCTACGCAGCGGTCGTCACAGGGTTATACCTTCAGCCTTGGTTTCGGCTCTGTTTCGTGGCGGGCTACTCGCTCGTCTTTTGTTCTCGGCTCCAGTTGTGAGGCTGAGATCTACGCAGGGGCCATGGCTGCTCAGGAGCTTCGCTGGCTCACCTACCTGCTGACCGACCTTGGAGAGCCGCCTCGTTCTCCTCCAGTCCTGTTCGTAGACAACAAGGCCATGCTGGCCTTGTGTCGAGAGCAGAGACTGGAGCACAGAACAAAGCACATTGCTCTCCGCTACTTCCTTGCTCGTGAGCTACAGCAGCGTGGTCAGTTACGGCTTGCGTACGTGGCCTCTGAGGTCAACACTGCTGATGTCTTCACCAAGGCACTTCCGCCTTGTGATCATCAGCGCTTCTGTACCCAGTTGGGTCTTGTGCCTGTCTTGCCTCACTTGCTCACCTCTTGACCCTGCTTGTACTGTTACATATATATATATACCTGCTCTTACTTGTCTAGCCTTATATATATATATATGTACTCCTGCATGTGAACTGGCCTTGTGGCCTTCAACTTGTGCTCGGACTGTGTGGTGACTTTGTGATCCACCCTGAGCTTGCCTTGCTTTGCTTTACTTGACTGGTCTTGTGACCCCTAGTTCTCCCCCACTTTGCCTATGGGGGTGTGTCAAACATTATATGTTGTGCTTGTTTAGGCTACAATGGGTTAGACTATAGGGGGTACACAATTCAAGGGTTAGGTACTTGTACTGTTTTCACTGTTAGTTCAATCATTCCTGTTCATTGATTTCAACAGAGCTGCACCACCGTGGTCAGCTGCGCCTTGGTTACGTGGCCTCTAGGGCCAACACTGCTGATATCTTTACCAAGGCACTTCAGCCTTGTGATCATCAGCCATTCTGTACGATGCTAGGTCTTGTGCCTACTTGGCCTCACTTGCTCACTTCTTGACCTTGCTTGTACTGTGATCTGTCTATACCTGCACTTGCTTGTTTACTTCTATATATAATCATGCATGTGAACTGGCCTTGTGGCCTTGAACTTGTGCTCGGAATGTGTGGTGACGTTGTGATCCACCCTGAGCTTGCCTTGCTTGACTGGTCTTGTGACCCCTTATTCTGCCCCACTTTGCCTATGGGGGTGTGCCAAACTTATATGCTATAGTTTGTGTAGGCTGTAGTGGGGTAGACAATTTAGGGTACAACACTTTTAGGGTTTCCTACTTGTACCCACCTCTTTCCTAGCGCATCCATTCCTGTTTTCTTCACATAGCCCAGTTCGGATATTCCCCTGATACCGCAGCAAAGGAGAGGAGGACGTGGGAGGCCATCTGAAGTTCTTTATCCGAGTTGAGGAATATGGTCACGTCATCGGCGTAGCATGCCATCAGGCGACGCTGGGTGTGGGAAATAGGGAAGCCCGGGAGGAAGTGGGTGGAGTAGCGATGAAACACTTCAAGAACGCAGTGAAAAAGGAGGGGGGCAATGGGGCAGCCTTGACGGACGCCGGATCGGACGGGGATGGCTGGCCCGCACCGGTTGTTCATTGAGATCCTGGTTGTGGTGTTGGAGTGCATAAGTCGTACCCAATTGAGAAAAACGGGGCGGAGGCCAAGTAAAGCAAGGCATGAGAGCATGAATTCGCGATCGACTAAGTCGTAGGCTTTGCGGATTTCTACCGTCAAGGCGAGCAAGGGGATGTGCTGAGTGGCGGCCCAATAAAAAATGTCGAGAGTATCGTTAAGCGTGTCGCCTATTTTCCTGGATTTGATAAACGCAGCCTGAGAGTGGTGTATGAGGGAAGGGAGCAGAGGCTGGAGACGGGAGGCGAGACGGATGGCGAGGATCTTATAGTCGGAATTCATCAGCGTGATCGGCCGGAGGTTGTCGAGGACGGTGGAATCCCCCTTCTTGGGGATAAGCACTGTGCGTCCTTGCAGCATCGTGGGAGGAAGGGAGGATGAGGAGGCGAGGAACAGGGCATGGATAGCTTGGGTGAAATTAGCTCTGAAGGTGCTGAATAGCTCGCGAGGCAGCCCGTCTGGCCCAGGGGTTTTCCCCCGCGGGAGCTTGGTGATGGCAGAGGAGATCTCCTCCATGGAAAAGGGGAGTGCGAGGCGTGCGGTGATGTGCAGGGGGATGTGGGGGGGAGGAACATGGGACCAGAAGCTGTCATCAGGATGCACGGGGTGTGAGGCGATGTAAAGGTCCTGGAAGAAGGAGGTACACAAGGCACTCATTGCGGGAAGATCGGAAATGGTTTCGCCAGAGGGGGCCTGGAGAGAGTTGACTAGGGAGGCTTTAACATGAGAGTTGAGACCAGCCAGTAGAGAGGAGATGCCCATTTTGCGGGGGCCTTCGACCTTTAGCTTCGCTTTGAGGGCAATGTCGGCAGCGCGGGATGCTTCGTACTGGTCGAATTGTTGGGAAACAATGCGCAGTTGTTCGGTGAGTCCGTCATCCGTAGGGTTGACTGCTCGGGCGATACGGAGGTGACTAACCAAGTTCTGGAGATGGTCTGATGTCTTTTTGATGCGAATCTTCTCCTGTCTGCCGAATGCTTTGAGTTGGTTGCACAGTGCTAGCTTCCAGGCGTCCCAGCTGAGACCATTAAACTCAGAAGGGAGAGATTGGCATGCCGAGGAGATGAGCTGGGTTGTGAAAGGGCGGAGTAAAAGGGAATATGGAAGCCGCCAGGGTCTGGGGGCGAGGTTTGGGGCGTTGCATTGGAGAACGCAGGAGGGAGCGAGGTCGTGATCGATGAGTTCCCTGGAGGCAGACGTGTACAGGGCGTCTATAATCCGATATTTGAGGTGGTCCGAAACATAGATGCGGTCCAGACGTGAGGCGGTGGGGGGGGAGTCTCCTTGTGAGACTCTGGGTAGGGCGAAGAAGGAGAACATGGGCTCGGTGGGATAGATGAGGTGGAATGTGTCAACTAAGGAGTGTTGCTAGAGTGCAGTGGCAAGGAGTGCTCCTTCCGAGGTTTCGTGCGCCAGGGGGGGCCTGTTCCGATCCTCGGCTGAGCATACGGCATTGAAATCTCCTGCCACGATTGTACCGCTCGAGGAGGTGGGACTCTCCAGTGCAGACGTGAAGAGAGTTCTCCACCAGGGGCGTCTGAGAGAAGGGGTGGAGGGTGCGTAGATGGTTATTAGGCGAAGCTGCTCGCCGAGAAAGTTGATATGCAGGGAGAGGATCCGGCCGTCAGGGGAAGGGGTTTGGGATGAGACGGAGATTTGGCTGTTGAAGACAAGGACTGCGATAGCCCCTGTTTTGTTTCGGTTAACAAAAGGGGAAGGACAGTGCGCATATGAGGAAGGTTTAAGCGTCAGTATGAGTCTTTGGAAATTAAGAGTAAGTCTAGTATCTAAAAGAATGAGGATATCAGCTTTAGGGTTACGTTTGTTATGCCAACCACGAAGGTCATTGATATTTTGCTGCTTGTTAATCCCGTTCACATTAATGCATCTGATAGTTAGGGGAATTAATATTGTTCATCGGCTAGGACCCCCACATGCTCTGGCATGTGCATCCACGGGGTATAAAGGCGGAACAGGAGCCGGAGGGGGAGACGGTATGTTTGTACGGCAAACTTCCTTTGACTGTGGTATGACAATACAAGGAGACAAAGGAGAGAATGCCTAAGCACCACATGGAAAGGAGAGCAAGGCCATAGCACGTCTTCTGGCCGGCTGCCTGGAGGAATGGCTACTGCAGAAGAGCCTTGATGCGGTGGTGCTGCACCATGGTTTCGGCCTTCCAGGCCCCGTATTTGTCCTTGGTGGCGTTCAGGTGCGCGGAATCCTGCAACTTGGTGCGGTGGGAGTCGGAGTTGATATGGAACATCGCACTGTTGAGCGCAATGCCACACTCGTAGTCGCAGACCGAGCAGGCCCAAACCTCCACATCGAGGTCCAGCCCAATGAGGACTAGGCCAGGGTGCTTCTTGAAGGCAGCCGTAGCAGCATTCTGGCCGAGGAGCTTTCCTGAGGAAGGCGGGGGCGCAGTATACAGAGATAGGGGGGAGAGTGGAAGGGGGGGTAGTGCGGCCGGAGCCGGTTGACAGCCACAGAGGCAGCAGGCTGGACGGAACCAGAAACCTACTTGTGGGGGAAGTACTGATAAACAGAGACGGGTAACGGGGGGCAGGGGGAAGCCTAGTGGGAGGCAGGACCAACAGGTGGGGGAGGCAGCAAGGAGCCAAGAAAGACAGTGTCTGGGGGGGAAGAGTACCGTTAACCGCCTGGAGAGCAGACATGGTGATAGTCTGCCTGTTGGAGACTCGGTTGCGGCGGGTGATAGCGAAGCAGGCGTGATCCGCGAGCCGATGGTTGCTTGAGCACAGAGAGCACGAGTGGCTGGAGATGTTGAGGAAGGCAGGTTCCACCTGGTCCGGAATCCAGAGGATAGCCGAGATACGCTCAAAGGAAAGGTCGCCCTCAGCCGCGATAGGGAGGTCGAGCATCTGCGAGTACGCCGAGCCGTCGTAGGAGTCTTTGAGTCGGTGAAAATGCAGGAGGTCCGCAAGCCATGGAAGACCGTCCTCGATTTTGCCAGTAAGCAGCGATTCGTGCAGGTTCTCGGCCTAAATGCCGAGCGGCACGTTCCGCACCACCACATGCATATCCCCGCGAGCCTTGGCTGCCGAGAAGTCAGGGTAAGGGTCCGTGTGGATCTTGACCTCGATCGGGCGGCTGTTGTGGATTCGCACCAGGAAAGGATTCGCAAACAGCTCGCGGAAGGTGCGAGCGTCAGCATCGGAGGGCCAGGAGTAGATATGACAGAAGTACATCTTGCACGGCAAGCGCAGCGGCTCACCCGAGGCCGCATCGAATTGCGGAACGGCGCCATTGAAGGCCGCCGGTCCGGGAAGGGCAGCAGCGATCCGGGCGAGGATACTCTCCCGAACCTCCTCGGAGCATTTAGGAAACATTACCGCCACTAGCGACTGCGAGTTGCGCGTCAGGGACCGGAGCTCAGTTCCCACCGAGGGGCGGTGACAGCGAAGGTTACGATAGCGCACCGAGAGGGCCAGGTTGGACGCCGAGCTAGAAGGAGGCTACTCACCAGCGGCTTCCTGGACCGGGGGCTGAGGGCGAGAGGGCGGAGCAGACCTCGGCCTCGGTGGGACCGCCGGACGGGGGGACGAGGGGGCCGTAGTCGCGGAGCTGCCGGAGGAGTTAGAGCGCCGCATCGGCTGAGACGCCGGCGGCGCGGCCGTAGAAGTGCTGGGGCCGGCAGAGCCAGAGGATGTCCCTTCACCGCACTGCTTCTTAGCAGCAGGCTCTCCGTTAAGCTCCGGCAGGGCGCCATCAGGAAGGTCTTCGAGCACGTAATCACCAAGATCGGTGATCGTGTCATCTCCTACGGCAAGCTGCTCGTCAGCCATGACGGCGTCCGGGTTGTGGTGAGAGGCCATGGTGGTGAGGGATGAAGGAGGAATTAACGGTGGATGGCGTTTATACCAACGCCGAGGAACCGACGGGGTGCAGCCAGAGGGGAGGATGAAGTTGAGGCACCACCGCGGGGAGCCGAGGCGCCAGGAGCAGGAAGCATTTTTGAGATCAAAGGTTTGGGCGCTTCGGCGATGGCCTAAGCAACCCGTCAGAAGGGACTGTGTGCCAGATCGGCATAGCGAGTCGTGGAACCAAGCATGAGGAGAGGGAGAAGAACAGGAGTAAGGGCCAGCGGAATTGGGTAATAGCTGACTCCAGCGGAGGCAGAGGTGACCTGGAGAGTTGCACAAAAGCGCCGCACAAGGTCTGCATGAAGTCGAGCAGCTGAGGGTGACCCAGCCAAACAAGAAAGGCTTCGCGCAAGGGAACTTGGCCGGGTCGGAGGAGGCCTTCCGGTAATTGGGGGCTGGATAGGAGACGATAAGACCAACGGGGAAAGTCCAGCTGAGGTGTCCTCCTGAAATTACGAGCACAGTTACACAGTCAGATCCAACCGTGGCCAACGAAAAACATACATTTTCCACAGTCTTGGGAGCATGAACCTTGTGGCTACCACTGCCAGGGACACTGCAACCGGGGAACTCGTTAGACGGAGAATGGTCACACTTCCTGAAGAACACCGCATGAAGTACGCTGAAACAAGAAAACAAAAACATGGTGGTGCTCTTCAGTTAGAGAAGGGAAGGATGAGCTAGTACAAACGAGGGCAACCAGCAGCACAGAAGCGGAGAGCTTCAAGACGGAGCGTTCCTGGCGGGGCATTTTTCGCGTTGGTTCTGACGCCTCCAAGCCACGGAAATGGTTTCAGGTCGACTGGGGAAAGGAAGGGTTTGGTTGTGCTAAAACTGGGAAGTCAAATGGTGGGAAATGAGGTGAAGGGAGTTTCTGTATACATACGAGGTCAGATACAGAAAGTTGTCATTCACTCGTTGCAAGCGTGCACACGAGACAAACCTCCGTGCCATCAGCTCTGAGAGAATTAGCCCCCTCTAGCACACGCGCTATAGTGTACAATGTACGTCCAGCTGCTACAACATCTAATTGCGATCCGCGTAATATTTTTCTTATCAGAGCTTTAATTTCGTTGCCAACTTCCTTTGTGGAAACCCGGCTTGTGTCACTTCCTCTATCAGCACTTGTGTTGCCCAGACCCAAGACTGAGATTAGTAACGAGTGATATTTTTCCTAGATACCTCGTTAGCGCTCGTTAGTCAAGCAGGCCTGACTGCTGCAAAGTTCAGCGAAATCTCTCTCTCCAGACTCGTGCGATCACGCCGCCCACGTCAGCCATGCCGCTCGGTCAAAGAGCCGGCGACGCGAGCGAATCGCGATACTGCGGTGCCGAGGTCGCTTATAGCGAGGACATCCATCACACATTGGCGGCGAACTTGGCAGGAGGCTTTGATTTTATCGTCGCTCCTCTAGTACGCCGCGACCCGCAAACCCTCCTTCGCTCTTTCCCACCCTCCCTCCCTCCCGCCATTTGCGGACGACACGCTCCTCTTCTCCTGATTTTGGGTGCAATATCGCACAGTGTTTGTTGGTAGATTGCACCGTACATTGCCGGGATTACCGAACCTGAGATCAGCGAGGCGATCTTTTGCACTTAACGGAGACTTCTAATTCGGCTCAAAAGTCACCTCGGGGTTCCCGAACCTGAGATCAGTGAGCCAATCCTTTCCACGGGAAGGAGAAGGACTGCCGAACCAGAGATCAGCGATATCGTTTCCTAAGCAGTATTGAGAGCGCAAAATGGATATTGGGGGACGTTTGCGCGCACCTTCCGACCCCATCCCTGAGCTAGTACTTGCTACAACCAGCCTCAATAGTTGTTCTTAGTTATGACCGAAGGCTTCGATCTTCTGAGATATCCCCTAAACCACGTATGGCGGATCAGACTTCCGAGCCATGAAACCCTAGATCCGCCGCTCGTGCCATCCACTTCTCACCAAACCTCAGGCTGATCCCGCTTCCCGACCGTCCGAGGCGAGACAAGCGGATTCAGGCGGCGCAGCGGTGCCGCCTAGGGCCAGACCTAGTAGTCCTCACTCCGCCCTCCCGCTTTTAAAATGTTCTTCCCTGTTTACGCGCCTTAGCCCTTCGAGGCGCCTCACAGTGGTGCCTATTATCCCTCACTCCGTCACTCCCCGTTTGATTTCTCTTCCTTTTCCCTCCGTAGACCGACCCGTCCTACCGGCCGAGCGAAGCTAAGCCCGCCGCGGCAGGCGGAGCGGTGGTGCCGCCTTTCGCGGGATCGGATCTGGTGCTGAGCCCGTCGCAATGGAGCAGCCACGTGGTCGGCAAGCTCTCCACGTGGGCTGACGTGGACTCCCCGGATGCGCTTATGCGATCTGACAGCGAGACAGTGATTAAACAGGAGATCAGCTGGGCCTCGCATTTGTCACTTCAGGTTAGCGGCTCGGATTGGATCACTAGAATATATC